AATTGATTTAATATGAATTATACAGTTATTAATTATCATTGATGTGTATATAACTGCTTATAATAATATTGTTTTTATTTAAATGAGAACTATGTGCGGCTTTGATTAGACTGTACTTATTGTTACTGCACATAATATTATGTTTACATTTTTTAAAGATATATATATATATATTATAATTATTATATAAATTATAGATATTATATATAATATACATAGGTAGGCATTATCTATACTTATTTTTGTACGGCTATTTGCCTGAATATATTATAATACTATAGGGCTTGTTGGAGCATTCGAAGCTGCTCTTTATGACCATTTTCGTTTATTGTACGTATTTAAACTTTAAAGCGATTTACAGGCACTTGCAAGTATATAAGTAGATTTAATCCACAATACAGCCTATATGATAACAAATATACACAATCACACATTTTCATGGTCAATTCACTTCTAAAAAAATAATACGACAAATTCACTATAGCCTCTGTCACCTATATGTTTGCAGATTTGAGTCCACCCTCTCCGTTAAAACACCTTCGCAATTTTAATAACTATATACAAGTAATAAGTATCCATATTAATACCACTAATATATAGGTATACATAAAACAAAGGTTCACATGGGTGGTTGATATAATATTATTTTATATAAGTACATCTTATGGATTATACATCTTCTATTTGGATTTCATTTTTTTGATATTCGTGTCATCAGACACTCGAGATAATCAAAATGTATGCACACTACGACGGCGACGTGCACAAAAAGTACGAATCTTTTCTGGTTAAAGGCGGAATAATAAAATTACTTAATTTACCTACTACAAGTAACTTCTTTAGGTGTAAAATAAAATTACTCTCCTTTCAAAATATAAAATAGTAGCATATTATGCGATGAGATGAGCACCTATAGACTATAGGTATCAGAATTTACCCGCCATAACGCATTTTACGTCATAACATTTTTGCATGACGTTTTTTTCAGCATCTCCGAACGTTTTACGGACTTTATAAATACATTAAATTTGCAACTAAGAGCAGGTACTTTTTTCGCATATTATTATATCACAGTGCAGAAGAATTATATTACGATCCGTGCGTATAATGTATATATTTTATAAAATTAACAATGATAATATTATATTATATATAAATAGTAATAATAGAACCTATAATGAGTAACAATTTTTATTGTATTTTTGTTATACTATTACTGTATTACCCTATACTTCTCCAGGAAAAAAATGTACAGTTATAAAGGTATATTACATTAGTTCACTGCTTATATTTCAGTCGTTGTTGTCTGAAATATTCGATTCTCGACTACCTACTATTAACAATAAATTACTGGTCAAGCCTTCCCGTATAGCCGTTCGTGGTTTGTCTCTTTCTAATAGCTACACGCTTTCATTTGATCTATATAGGTAAGCCTAACCAGACGTGGATTGCCTCATTCGTTTATCTGTAAGCTGTAAAGTGATTTTCACTGCGAGATTCGCCAGCACGTATAATAATCTTTTCTTATTTGCCACACTCGTGCTTTTTGATACATTTGACTTCCCATGCGCATGATTAATAGAAAGCTATACTTGAACTAAACTAAAACTAACAAAAATACCAAACTTATTAAAAACAGAATTAGAATTAGGTATATGTAGTGCATAGTAGGTACTATGAACGTTAGCGAAAGCTGGTCAATAAAATAATAATTATCTATACATGTATAAGCCAGACATTTTAAATTCTTAACTATTATAAGAATAAACCTTGATATTTTTAAAAGGTGACTATTTCTTGAGCTTGACAACCTGCAAACCTTGTCACATGTATGACAGCCAAATTGAACATAACTATAGGTAGGTAGGTTACAATAATAATTACTTTTTTTTTTAACCGATTTTGCTTGAAGCTTTGTTTATTGCCATATGGAAACGCAAATTAACATAAAACATATTTTTTTTGATTTTTTTTTACTGCCCAAAAACATATCTATGATTTCTAAATTTTTCATGCAGTAGAAAAATATTTAGTAGAATGGTACTTTTTTTTTCTGTATTCTGTTTAATCAAAGGCAAGCGAAAAAAAAAAACAAAAATTTAATTTCTATATTTTAAGCATAAAATACAAGTGTGTGTCAGTGGATCGAATTCCTGGATGAAGTTAGCCAGCGGTGGCGGTAACATTGTGTTCGGCTTCATTTTCCCGTAACCATCACTACCGCGACCGCCCCTGCAGCAGTGTGTGGGGACCTTTAAGCCTATATATATCACTCCTAGCAGGTTATATTATAGTACTTTACCCCCCTGTGAAAATCCCTTGAAAATCGGTTAAACCGTTTCGAAGATGATAGCCCGGATATCGCATATCATATAAGTGCAGATGACACTACAATTTCCCATTTTTCAATTATGAATGACACTAAAATTATTTGTATTTATTTTAGATGAGGATAATATAGAAATACGCGGAAGACAGTAAATCTCGGGCTCTATAATGACCGTCGCGTCATTGTCGATTTAGCTGGAGAGAGAGAGAGAGAGAGAGGGAGCGAGAGCGATGCGGAGTGGAGGGTAGAGCGATTAAACGAAGAGTACGGTTGTTTCGTATGTACTCGCACAAAGCCCTACAGCGGCGGCAGAAGCGACGGCAGCGGCAGAAGCAGCGGCAGCAATATCATACGCAGCAACGGTACCTACATAATATTATACACCGGCGAGCGTGACCCCGCAGGATCGTCAGCGGCGGCGGCCAGGATTTGATGACGATATTATTATGGTAGTAGGAGCTGCGGCGGCAAAACGTTAAACCGGCCGCGCGCGCCGCACCAATGGCTGGCTGCGGGCGCGGACGGGTGTCGCCGCCTACCGCCGCGGCAGGGAGTGGTCCGGGCGCGCAACACACGCGGCGCGCGGCGGCGGCAGCTGCTCTTGCGCGCCACTGCCGCCGCCGCCGCATCAGTGCCCCGCGCGCCGTCAGCTCCCTTAAACGTACCGCTGCCGCCGCCGCCGCCACCGACGTTGTCGTCGACGTATTTGTGCCGCCGCCGCCGCCACCGTTGCTCCAGTTGCAGCGTGCATCGGACGGGTCGTCAATACGTACCATACACAGTCGGAACGAGTGGACCGACAACTACAACAACAACAACAACAACAATAATAATAATAATAATAATAATATTATACGACTTCAAAATATTATATTATTATAATATTTCGGTTACGGTTAATTATTTCGATATTATAATATACGTATTTTGTTATAATATGTTCAGTGGCGGCGCGTTTTAAATTTGTACACTGACCGTTTACGCATATCACGTAACATAGTAATCAGTATTTTACGTACAAGCACACGTATATACTATATAGAACACAATAGGTAAATATATAATGCTAATATATTATGAAAACACACTCCACACTATAATTATTGCACTCGTAAAATAATGCACTTTTGACGATATTTTAGGTTTTTATAGGTGTGCATAATATTATGTTGTTGTTGTTATTATTATTATAGAGTAGGTATACCCCATTCATTTCGGGAAACGAAAGAGAAGAAAATTATTTCGTAAATTCCATATATATTATATAGGCATAAATGGGTTGTAATCTAGGTACCTACCAAAATACCACACATGATACACTTACCTACCTGCATGCAGTTTTGCTTCCATTTGTCTGACGTTTTCTAAATGATGGTATCGTTATGTCAAATTACGATCAGGTTTAATCATAATTGATTATAATTATAATATATATAAATGGAAAAAAAAGTGAAGTGTCAAACGTCTTCATAATAATATATAAATAATGACATATTATTGTACCTAATAAACCATTTATATTGGCACAGTGCATATTGTATATCATTGTACGAAATATTGTCCGCTAAATTTCGAATTATCTACACAGTCTACTGTAAACTCACATATTATATATAGATATGTTAGGGTATATATTAGTATACGCCATTAGGAGGTATACCTACGCTCCAAGTTGAACGATGAAAAGAGCTCACAGTGATTTATAGTTAATACGGTCCTATTGTGCAGGCTTGAAAAGGATTACACACATAATATGTAATGTACCTACATAATAATGGCTGTCAACGAGTCCGACCGAAGCCCTCGTCGAGTGTTTATAGTTTTTTTTTTTCGTTTTTACGCTCGACGTCTTACCAATTTTTATGGGATGAAAAAAATTCGAAAAAAATCGCCGTTTTCTCATCCTCATATATTGTTATTACAGAACCGCGAACGTATACCTATGTAGTACGGTGTTAGGTAAATACATATAGGCATATAGCAAATATCAATATAATATAACGTTAAACGAGACATGTTACGGGTATAAAATTGAAACAGTCCATATAACGATCCTACACACTATACGTAAATCTATTATCTACTAACTTCTATAGATCATATATCAAAGGTACCTAATTCGTCAATGTACATATAACATATAGCTTAACTGTAGTACGATTGTATAGTAAAAATATTATATATATATACACGTATGTACCCTATACACATATATGTAAACGTAAGAGGTGCAACTACTGGTTCCTTCTCTTATTCCTTACATATAAAGTCGATGCACCTTCTCTTCTTCCTCTATATAATAAACTTTAAAGTACCTCCTCGTTCCACAAGACATTATAATATTATATATTTATATATAAGTAGACTCTCGTCTTGTATCGTTCCTAAATTCATAATATTACTAATAATGGGAGGATCCAGTTATGATGCGTGTTTGGGTCGTGAGCACCACACAATTTTTAGTTTGCAATTATTGTCATGAATTGTATATTACACAATAATTCATTACCTATATAATAATAATATTATATAGTAGTCAAATTATGGTTTTTTTGTTAATGTTATATTGTTGAAATTAGTTGGGCATCACACCTGTTAAATAAATAAAATAAATAATCATGACTGTGTCCTTTTTCCAGATCACTGCGCATCACCAATTCGGCTGTGGGAGATGAATCTGGTGTCCAGGCATCAGTACGGTGGCGGGGGAGGCATCGTGTCGTCATCGTCGTCATCGTCGCGATCGTACGGCGGCTTTGGCAAATCGGACGACGCCACCAGCACGGACGAGGAGGCGATAGTGGACGTCGAACGGCCGGATACGCCGCCACCGCCGCCACAACTGTCGCCGTCGGGTGCAACCGACCACCGGCGCCGTGCCTGCATCAACGGCGGCCGGCCGGTGGCCGCGTCTGCGATGGCCAGCGCGGCCGCGCTCACCGCATGGCTAAATCCAGCCACGTTTTGGCGAGACTCCGATCAGTGGCGCAACGTGCTGGTTAACTACTACCACATGAACAGGGCCGCGGCCGCCCGGTCTGCAGGCAGGGGTCGTGGAGTCGTCACCGCTTATCACCCGTCCGCCGTACCGGCCATCTGCGGGGTCGGCCCGTCCGCTGGCCGGAAGCCGACGACAGCCTGCGCGGCCAGACCGCCGCCCCTGCCCCTGCCACCTACGACGACGTCCCAGTCTTCTTCAACGTCGTCTCGCCCGAAGAAACGGTACATCTGCACGTACTGCCAGCGCGAGTTCAGCAAGTCTTACAACCTGCTCATACACGAACGCACGCACACCGACGAACGACCTTACCCCTGCGACGTGTGTGGCAAAGCATTTCGCAGACAAGACCACTTGAGAGATCACAGGTATATAAATACGCTGCAGTGAATAATTATTTATTAAATTATAACATTTACCTATCTCCCTATACCACTGTTATAATTGGCAACGACGACCAGACCAGATTTACCTGCAGATTAGCAATGTTTCTTATATAGTACCTACCCGCGTAAATAATATGACGTATTATGCAGTTGTAGCTGCATCCTGTATTTCATTAAACCGCCGCAGTGCGCAGTTTTCTTCAAAATTTATTTTATAATAGATACCTATTTCAACCGATTAATTTATCATATATTATCATTCATTAAATAACAATATTTGCTCCGCAGAGCTTGATCTTAAAATTAAATTTGTACTCCTCCTTGTTTCGATATAGAACTCCGCCGCCATATTATTATTGGTTAATAGTACATTAATAGTATAATATTAATCTGTGCAGGTACATACACGTCAAGGAAAAACCGTTCAGGTGTCCAGTGTGTGGTAAAGGTTTCTGTCAGTCCAGGACGTTGTCCAGTCACCGGAGCAACAGGAATTCTATGTGCCTGGACACGACCGTTTTACATCAACAACAACAACGGGACGCCGGCGGAAACATACGCAGGCCCAAAATGATCACAGACTTTTCCATCAACTCTATATTGAACTTGCAGTAAATCCGTTTAATATATAATATTATATACACAATACATACAGTGTATTATAATATTGTTTGTTTTCTAACCCCTCGATTATTTTGATCTCAAGTGCGTATGTGCAGACGTTTAAAGGTGAAAGACTATATTTTATCATTATTATTATTATTATATAATTATTATCATTATCATTATCATTATCGTACTTTATAATTATTATTATATAATATATACGCGACTGCAAAGAACCGATGCAAATTGAATATTATAAGATACGTTCGGTACATAACCACACGTCATAATATAATATTGCAGTACCTACATGTCCGCCGTATATAACGCGACTTATATTAATATATATATATACATATTAAATAGGCTCTATATATTTACCCAAAGAACGAAGGTTTATTATTATTACCGTTTTACCACCCATCGCATCGATTCTTTGCGTAGATAATACTTTTTTGTACATGCCTACTCAGCGGCAATGCCGTGAACGTCTTTTTGAAATGACATTTGCATATTATAATATATATTATTATGTAGATTATAGATGCATATCGTCCTGTTGTATATAATATATTATTATGCCGTAGGTGTGTGTACCTATACCTATATTATTATTGTATTATGTGTACACTTTTTTGGATTAAAAATATTTATTTTTTGTTATTATTCTACCGCTCATTACAGATGATTTAAGTGCATAAACCTTTGCAGATAATAATCTGCCGCGTGGTGTTATAATGATTACATTTTTTTCATATTTTATCATAATTATCATAATATATTAGCCGATAACGCAATAATATTTCTTGTTTATTATTAAGCATATGACATTTCGTTTTACAACTGTTTTTACCAAAGATGTTTTAAAATAAACTCGTGTACATTATGTATTATAAAATATACCTATGTATATATATATATATTATTATTATTAAACACATATTATATATATTTTATGCATACCTATATTAAATACTTGTTCGATATTTACATAATATTATAAGCGCGCGATACCGATACGATTTGCGATGTATACCTTCCTGCAACTTGTATAATAGGTATAATATACTCATCATATAAATATATATATATTATACATTACAAGTCAAGGGGAAAAATAGTATGTAATAGGTGCAATTAATTACGTGATATCACACGAAACAGATGTTCGCACGATTGAAAAAAAAACCTATCCTGAGCAGGTGGCCACGAAGTAAGTACCTATACCTATGTACCGCGACCCGCGGCGAGCTATGCCAGGCGCACGAGCGGGTATAATATAATATTAACTTATATATATATATATATATAGGTACTATTATACCACGTCCTACACAGAGGTATAGACCGCCGCCGTCATTAATATCCAAGTTACTAACCGCAGAACATTATACCTATACACCGATATGTATATTATTATAATATGATGTGTTATGTCCTCGAGCCGAACACGGTAGCAGCAGCAGTTGTTCCTGATGTGTACCTGTATACACATCGCCTTAATTAGATTTAATGTAAGCATAATATACGGTAGGTACACCTATACAATATTTTATACACATATATTTTTTTTAATATCCGTTGCGTGATTTATACCTCCCACCCCCTCTCTCGTTCACTCTTCCACACCGAGGCTGGCTCGTCTCGACATCGCGTCTGTATATAGGTACGCGTTATATATTACGGTCACGTGCTCGCCGCTACCGGTGTTTATGGGATGCCTGTTTTTATAATTGAATTGAATAATATTATTATTATACATGCGTTTATAACCAGCTATACCACGTGCACACGGCGGAATCCGATTATATTATATACCTACCTACCAGCGTATATTGATTATACGCATGCCTGCCTCTATGTATGTATATAATATATTTATATATGTATAATATGCACCTGGTATAATGTATGTGTAGGTATGCGTTTTCGTCTTTGGTCGACGCCCTCACGTCGTGCCGCCACCTCCTGCACTACAACTTACTTAGATATAGTGTATCAGTGTATCTGACTGTATCATAACTTCTGAATATATGTATACCACTCGCGGTCAACAGTATAATATTAGTATAATGTACGATGTACCTACCTATCTACTGCAGCAAACATAGGTACATAAATTGGTACACTACTTTTGCGTTGTTTTGCTCCAGTGGGCGATAATTAGTAATTACATATATAGGTACCTATAGGTAGCGTTTTAACAGCGATGAGGGGAAGTAATATATTACATGAAAAATAAAACAGTGGCAGCTGCAGCTGTTGCAGCTCCGTCGGCGATCAGCTGCAATAATAATATGTAGTGTCGAGCCGATTGTATCGCAGCCGATACAGTCAGTCTGGCAGTCACAATAATATATAAGTAGAATGTATCCACCTATGTTTATTTCGATACCACTGACATTACGTGAAACCCACCTCCTACATTGAAAAAATACTGGGTATGCCAATAAACAATGCTGATTGCAATTAAATATTTGAATATTATAGGTATATAATGAGTATAATATATAGTAACTATATTAAGCAAGAACATCGATAAAGAATGCTATTGAAATATTTTAAGTTGTACTTATTTATTAAAATATTATTTATTTATGTTATTTTCATTATTTTATTTAACCATACTATTTACGTTTATCTATTATATTAGGTGACTCCTAAAAATCTATGATATTATTATGCATTTATGCAAATTGCAACTATACTTACCATATATAAGTTATATCATAGAATAATATAATATAATATAGTATTATAGTAAATACATATGTGATCATTTACTTTATAATCATTTACTAGGGGCATATTTTCCTAGTATCCGGTGTTTTTTTTCGGGACATTTTTCTGAGGCTTTTTTCTTTAGATTCCAACAAAATAAATATAATATAAATATAGTATAGTTAATTATTCATTTGTTTCTTATATGTTCATATAACTTTGACATTTATATATTATAGGTATAATATGTAGAGGTATATAGTAGATGTAACTGTGATCTGGATACTACTCTGAAAACCTGAATAAAGGAGAATCACTCTAAACGAGCTAAACATTTTTTGTATCGAGAAATATGGCTTAAATCGTATGTAAGATCAAAACAAATACCATAATATATTATAATACGTTCTATCTTCTATCAAATATAAATTGCACCCACCGCCCATGTGATACAGCTTATCTTTATAGTAACGTTTTTTCTTGATTAAAAAAATAACTAAAATTAGTCAATTTAAAGTACATGGTGTATTCGTATGCATTTTAAATGAACAAATTAATAATTACCAACAAAAAAAAAAAGAGAAAAAAAACGAAAATTGTAAAATAATAGTCGACAATTATGTTAGAATTGCGTATTACATAATTTTAGTATAACTTATAGAAAAAAATAATATTTAACCTATTAGATATAATTTATAATATTATGATATGAACAATAATTAGTGTAGCAGATCTAATATAAAATTGATGAACCTGAGCAGTCTAAAAAATAAATATTATAAGTATTATAGTGTTGTCTAGGTCTCTAGGACTTTGGTAGGTATATGAATGTTGTAAGTATGTAAACATAATCAAACCAGAGAAATTTAAAAAAAAGTATTGACTGTGAGATAGCAATGCCAAGTGAGTGATAGATATAGTATAAACAAATGTTAGTCATTGGTATGCGGAATGCAGATGTATTTCAATTTAAAACCATTATTGGTGAAAAATTGCGTTAATATAATACTTATAACAATAACATTCGCAGGAAACGATCCAGTGAGTAGAATTCGTTTGCTATATTTTGTAATTCATATGAATTTTTTTAATTTCCTTATGATAATAAATTATAAGGTAAACATTTTCAAATCATAACCAAAGAATGTAAAAATTACTTTATTAAGACATTTTTTTTTTTTATAGAATATAGATAAACTTATTTACTTTCATTTCTAAATACACATTTTCAAAAAAATCAAGAAAAGTTTATATGACTTATATTACCTATAACAAGTTTAAAACTTTTGTTTTTATGTAACATACAAATCAGATTCAGCCATCTGAAGATCTAATCTTTATATTTTTTAAGTTGAGTTATTCATTTTTTAAGTATTTGCATAGTTCCTTTAATAATGTTAGTATAGTAATGTAAGTTTAAGCTGAAGCCTGGTAAAGGATAATAAATTATAAATAGTTAGTGGTTAAGAACTGGTCCGTTATGGAGAGTAGATGGACATCTCTCATGAATAAAAAATTTGGTACCTACATTCACGTCGCGGTACATTTACATGATCGTTATTTTTCATTATACACCTATCCAATTTTGTTAAAATTTGCAAAGTTCAAGAACTTAAATTAACTTTTTGATTTTTCATAAGTTTTAATTGTTTAAAAAATGCTAAAAAATAGCTGTGACTTTTTCAATATAGTTATAATATTCTACCATTTAAATGGACAAAAAAATATTTGATTTTCGGGAGTCAAAACTAAATTCATGTGTGAGCTTGCACCTTATATAGCAACTTATAGGGCACCGAGTCTTAAGGAATATATTGATATAATTTTTATGGAAAACTGTTCAGTAGCTTCAGCGGGGTAGACATGATTTCTGAAAGGGGGGGGGAGTTATCAAAAATGAAAACGTCATACCTAAATGGGAGGGAAAAATTGGAAAGTCCTCCACCCTCTCAAAACTTTACTTGGGTAATAAAATATTTTACAATAAGGAACAATGAATATAATTTGAATTGATTCAAAATTCACATCAAACACAATATGGATGATTATTCACTCCAAAGCCAATGGTCCATGGGGGAAAGGGGATCTGACCGTATATCAGACTGTATACATTTTTATTAAAAACTATAAAAGATTATTTCCTTATGATTTCAACATAATTAATAACATTGTAGTACATTATTTAATTTATATTATAGTCTTATTCTTAAAGATAATTGTAATTTGTAAGCTATTGCAGATGAAACTAATAAGTAATGTTTTAATCACTTGCAGTGCTACCAAACCAT